AAAATTAAAATTAGTCATAAATTTAAAAGTTGCGATAACTTTTTTTTTGGTCTAATACTTTTGACCGGGGAGTGTATGTTATTGCCATAATGCAACTGGATGCTTACGTACTAACTGGTTGTCAGACTACGTGTCATATTATGGTCCATCTTTGTTTTTTTGTAGTTAATGGGTGTAGGGTAGTTTAAGCAATGTTAATTTTATACTAACGTCCGTTTTTTTTCTAAAGAATGAGAAGTCTTCCGCAAACATAGAAAATTTCTGGATATCAATCAATAAAAAACTCAACAACGAAAAAATTCAACGTATAGAGAGAGGTTAGTGAACCGCCCATATTAACTGGTATTTCGATCAAACCACTAAATTTCTTATTTATTATTATGAATAGGCCGACTATGATCTAACTGTGGCTGATGAGGTGTCCCAGCAGATGAAATCATATGTAAGATCGACTACTACCAAAGTTTACAAAAGATTTTTGGGCAGCTGTGAAACAAGCTCGCCGAAACGGTTAACAAGGGTCAGTAACTGCTATCAATCTTGGAACTGGCTGTTTACTGTATTTAGTTCCAACAATTTTTTTTAATTTAGACAAATTGGAGCATCAAAGGTAGCGATGTAATCGTAGATGTCGGAAATAATCCGTTTATAGTAACCAAACACATCGAGAAGGATGAAGTATGGTATTCACGTAATGTTACGTCTTTCAGAAAAATTGGATCATATTGTGATCCAAACTAAGCTTGGTCTGATCCTTCAATTCCGCTATTTAGGCCACCAACATATCTGCGAACATGATGAATGTCTCAAATATTTTGAACAGTCCAGAAAGTAATGAAGTAGAGTCTCACCCAACATCTACAATTCCTACGGCTCCTCCATCCCACAGCTATGAAGTTTCAAGTATCTTAAACAATTCAAGTAATGAAGTTGAACTTCATTCAACATCAAAAACTTCTACGACTTCTCCTTCCCCTTCATCTCACAATTATAAACAACCACGATTCATAACTAATAATGAATACATGGATATGATTTGGTCTCCTTGGCAGTTTGATGCAATTATTTGCGAAATAGATATCGAAGAAAATTAATAGGCTTATGCGAGAAAGAAAAAAAAGCAAAGGTGAAATCGTCATTAAGCTATGGTATTGTCGACCTGAATGATAGTAGAATCATGAATGTCTTGGAACAACCTGTAAAGTTTTATTTTGAAGCAGAAATGAAGAAATATAAACCACAAAAAGCTGTGTCAAAAGAAGCTTTGGAAACTTTGAAGTGTATAAATGTAGTATGTATTAACCGAAACACAAAAAATAGCTTGATATTGTTGCTTATAATTAATATATTTAGACATCATTATCGGAGCTTGGAAATGCTCTTTCAAGTATCACCATTAATTACGAAAATCCAAATAGAGATATAGTATATTTGCGTCATTTATTTGAGAAATTGTAAGTATTAAATACAATATATCTTTTTTATATTTTTTGTAAAAACATGTTTATTTATCTTGTATTCAGTTTTTTTCTTTTCCAGGACAAGGGTATATTAAATCTAGATAGTATCAAATTACAAGAAGGATGGTATAATAGTAACATTGTTACACCATTCTTCGACGATTGCGTAGCTTCACTTAATGACTGTATTCTCTGACGGTATGTTCTAAATAAAAACAGTTGTGTTATGTTGTATTTAACTAATTTTGTTCTTGTATAATAGTGGTGAAGTCGTAAGCAAAGCACAAAAATTACTTGGAATTAAATCATCAAAAATTCTGAAATATGACGGAGTCTTGTCATTTAATAGAAAAATCGAATTTATTTATGTAGAAACAGCAACCACATCAATATTGTCAAAAAGAGATAAAGACTTATCAAAATTGCGTGAAGCAATAGCTATAATGTTCAAGGTTATAGCATCATCATTACCAGAGAAACTTGCATACGAAATATCAGATTTGCCCATCCTTTGCATTCAATTCCGCGGTAAGTAAAGCTATATCTGATTGTTAATGCAAGATCTTTAATAAACTTAATTTTATAAACTATACAGGAACAACAGCTGATGTGTACTTGGCTAATTGGCCGGTTAAAATGCGCCCAGTTGTTTTTTCGATAATGGAATTTAACGTTCTGGAACAAGCTACTTCTTTACCAAGTCTAACGAAGTCGGCTGTAAGAATGTTAACATTGCGGGTAATTATAATATCTATACTCAAGCGTTCTTATTTATTCTTATTATAGCTGATCTTTATTCTTTTGTAGTCATTAATTCAAGACCTCCATAAAAATATCAATCATTGTTAAAAAAAATCACAGATTATTATTTAGATTATGATAATACTTGGACATCCCCATTGAAACTGAAGACTAGATAATTATGTTGAAAAGTATTGAAACTTTCTGTAATAAAAAATTTTTTCTCTTACATTTATGTATTTGGTTTTATAAATTGAAAAAATAAAATTTCTTGTTAATTGCGAGACAAATTTGTTAGTCATGATTTTGATTGTTCTCTAACTTCGAAAATGGAACTAGTAAATTGCAAAAGCATTTAAAGTTTTGAGTTTATTCAATGAGACCCAATTCATGAAGATGCTTAGGAATAACCATATGTGGGTCTTCGTAATACCAAACATACCTTAGGGCAATCTGATTCTCTTTGCATAATTCTTTCTTGAGTTGATCCCACTCTTGCTGTTTGGTAAAGTTATTGGGATTGCCTCTATGAAAGAACTTATTAAATTTTTCGTGTTGTTCATCTTGCACTTCAATCGCAAAACTATATTTTGAGTAATATACACTCCCCTGAAGAAAGTATCCGGGCACGGCTTTTTGCGAATTGTAGCTTAATTATATTATGTTTTTAAA